AGGCAGGTAGGCAGGCAGGGAGGCAGGGAGGCAAGTAGGCAGGTAGGTAGGCAGGTAGGAGGGAGCGAGGTCGGTATGTATTCATTCTTGCAGATGCCCGGTCTAGGATGCTGCAAGGATCCGCATGGCTTAAGCTCGGCTGATCCGTCATGGCCTCCCTCTTTGCGATGGGAGTTCCCGCTGCCGCTGCTTACATCCTGAAACCCGCCGTATGCCTAAGCCGCCTGAATACGCTTGATACGTCGAAGAATCTTAGACATACTCACTACCGAGACTCGGTGTCTTCTTTGCGTGTTGTTTCAGACCCCGCAGGGAGTTCAAGATTGTTCCTGGCTTGTGGGTGTCGGCGCTTGCGGGACTTGGACTCAAAGTCTGCGAGTAGGGCATACACAACCAGGCTAAGGGTTCAATCAAGTGAGAACGGACTGACCGGATATCCTACATGTGAAAAACAGCATAGGGCGCCGATGCCAGAAACTTAACCGGACGTTTGCCCCTCAACAGCTCTGGTCCACTGCACTGATATGTCAAGGCTGCGGGTTTTTGGCTGCGAAGGTGATGTGGCCCAAAACTGACTGACACGACCTTGAGCTTTGTAGCGTTGCAAGTAGCACAAACATGCATATTCGGAACCCGAGCCGAAATCCACGCCCATAACAAAATACACCAAGCACTCAGTATTCGAAGCAGTAGCACTCATACCTTTGATGATCGAAGTCCTGCTAGTATGTGTGCAAGAAGGCTAGCGGCTAGCAGCTTACTACAGTAACCACAAAGAGAAACAATGGCAATGGCAGTGATGTGCAGGAAGAGCCTACACCCTGAACTCTTCACCCGCCAAGCCAAGACCACTGCCCGGGCTGCCCTAGACCCTATATGCCCTATAGACCCTATAAGCCCTATAAACCCAATATGATACCCTTTACTATGCCCTCCTAAACCCTGACCCTAAACACTAAACCCTAACACCCTAAAATGGCGGCCCGACCCCCGGGTGACGCAGACCATCGGATCGAGATATGCTTCGGCAGACAGCCGCGCAGGGGCCTTCGTGTGCCGGCTCGGTTTAGGGTTTATAGGGCTTATAGGGTTTAGGGTTTAAAGGGTTTAGGGTTTCTAGGGTTTTATAGGGTCTTATAGGGTTTTATGTGGTTTTATAGGGTTTGTAGGGTTTAGGATTTAGAGTTAATAGGGTTTAGCGTTTATAAGGCTTAGGGTTTCTGGGGTTAGGGCTTCAAGGGTTTAGTGTTTGGGGTTGCAGTAGCACTGGGAAGAGTGGCAGTAGCGATAGTAGTAGCAGGGGAACAGTGGCAGTCGCAGCAGCAGTAGCAGTAGCAGCAGCAGCAGCAGCAGCAGCAGCAGCAGCAGGAGGTGTAGCAGCAGCAGTAGCGGCGAGAGTAGGAGGAGTAGTGTGTAGTAGTTTGCTTCTTGTGGGTCGCGCTATGATGGAGCTCCGAACCCTTCGAACAACCAAGCGCTCTTGTAAGCATCTGAAAGTTGCACATCCAGGGTTTGAGGTTTAGGTGATTGCAGCAACTGCTTGCCAAGGCCGTGTCCACCAGAGCACCACACTTTCCGAGCAACGTCCTGTTGCAACCTTCACGCCTCACAAATCCATGCCCAAACCTAGCTTTTGAGTCCAGCAAGACAGCAACGCCTGATGAGGAGGCATGGAGTCTGCGGGAGAAAGACACGCGGGGCCTTGTGCAGCCGCGCAGGGTCCCGGGGCGCCTCCACCTTCAGCTGCTCCTCGATGCTTCGGCTCGTGGAACATGTGCAGGGCTACGAAGCGGATACGACACCGCAGGCTGCTTCCCACAGTGCTCAGGTTGCAGCTTCTTTAGACGGAAGACGCATCCTAAGACGCTCAGATATGGAGACCTTCTGTGCTCCCGACAACAAAAAAATAGGCAAGAACATGAGTATCTCGAGAAACAGGCTCGAAGTAAGTACCGACGTGCCTAGCTCCAACACACCAAAAACTGAAACGATCGCTGCCAGAATAGCCTCACTTGTTTTGCCTCGAGAGCAACAGAGCCCAACTGATAGTCGCAGGAATCACCAATGTGACGACTAAGCTAAACCCTAAACCTTACACCGTAAACCCCAATTTTCAATATCTGAACCGATATTCTCGTCGGGCCCGAACCGCCACGTCTATTTACAATGGCGAACCTCTGGTGTTCTAACATGCGGACAGCCTTAAACAGAATGTTTATACTACCTTCGTGGCCTTGGCGGTCCGGCTGCCCTCCAACTGTTTGAAAAAATCAGTGTGTAGGAAACTAACCGGGCGAGCGATTGAACAACTGTTGGCAGTGTAGTGCTTGTAACACTCCCAAATATACTTCTGAAAAAGGTGCCGATAGGCCGACTGACTGCTTTGCAAAACGGTTTTGCACTTATGAAGGTTCGGCGTCAGTTCCACGAACTTAGATGCTAGGATCCCAGCCATGGCTTTCTCCAGCGCTGCAGCCCTTTCCAGCTGCTCCTGGCATGTGAGCCGATGGGTGGAGGACATCCCCCGCCTTCTCCTGTGATTAGTCGTGGTAGAACTGGGTTCGGACGTGTTTTTGGAACAGAATGGCATACGAGAAAGTATGGCGGCCTTGGACATACCCTTTTTGTTCAGGGGCTGCTCAGTACATTTCGGGTTTTTGAGCTTCTTGAATCGTGAATATGAACGAGATATTCATTCGTATACATATTTACACACATATTTGCTGTCTCGCTATCAGATAGATAGATAGATAGATAGGTCGATAATAAATATAAAACAACAGATAATCGATAACAGATATTCGATAGATAGATAGATAAATAGATAGATAGATAGATAGATAGATAGATAAACAGATAATCAATAGATAGTTAAATAGATAGATAGGCAGATAGATAGTTAGTTAGATGGATAGATAGCTAGATAGCTCGAAAGATGGAAACATACAAATAAAGATAGAGAGAGGGAGAGAAATACAACTCGAGCGTGCCGCGGGCTCCTGCTCCAAAGCCACCCGCTTCTGTGCAGCCTGACATGAGAGTGTCGCTTCTCAGCCCTAGAAAGCAGGGCGGACATGAACAAACAACTCCAACCCCCAAACCCTGAAACCCGAAACCCCTGAACCCTAGTCCCCAAACCCCTAAGCCTAAACCCCTGAAACAACAAAAAGCATAGCTCCCGCCCCTCCTCAAAAAAACAAAGCCTAAACCCCTAACACAACAGAAGCCCCAACTGTCAAGGGAGGCCCGGCCTCTTGCCTCTTGAGCTCGTCCATCTGCCTGGGCCAAACTAACCCTGATGTAGGTGGGCAGTTCTCTAAATTAGGGTCCCTTTTTGGATTCCCAACCTAGTACGGCGCCCGTATAACAATGGACCCTCAAAGGGACCCTAATTTAGAGAACTACCCAGGTCCTGAATGATTAGAACGGGTTTTGGGTGTACACAGTATACTTTTGCTATACAAAGGAACCCTAAGGAATACTGTTGTTACTGTTAATGACCCAGTAAACTCTCACCACTCTCTGGCTCCGACAAACTAAGCCAGCAATCTAGCTATCTGCCCTTCGCCGGAAAACGGATTCTTCGGCGCAATATAGACGACAACAAAGCAGAGTGCAGACACAGAAGTGTCCCTAGCAGTCAGGTGGATGAAAAGTGATGTCAATATTCTTACGCGTATGTCTGCCTGCCTGGCTGGCTGTCTGTTTGCCTGTCTCTTCTTATTCTGAGTGCAGCAAGAAGCAAAAAGACATCAATCTACACCCGCAAACCTGCCTTGAAAGTCTGCCAAACTTACTTGGATCCTCGCTGTCGCAAAGACACGACCTCTGCGTTGCGCGCCATGCGCTTGGCGCGTGCCTCGTGCAACATCGAGGTTCTCAATGGACGTATTGAAACTCCACATGCTGTATAGTATATACTCCTTCTACATTCTATTCAAAAACTAAATAAATGAACAACTTGATACATGAATATGTATATATATATATATAAGATTGATACATATATATATATATATAGAGGCTCATAGATAAGGAGGGTCGGAAACGCTCAGGGGTTGTGATTTGACTACACCTGTCAGGACTCAGACCCGGGGCTTCCAGTCAAGCCCAAATCTGAGTTCCAAAGTTCCGAACCCATGACCGGCAAGATCAACAGATGAAAACCTCGGCCCTAAATCATGGGAGGGATACCTTACCAAACCGTAAACCCTGAACCCTAAGACACCCCCAACCCTCACAGCTGGAAAGGCCCCCCTGTGTGACGCTTTTTCCTCCGTCAGGTGAGCTCAAAGCCGGGCTTGTGCCAAATCACGCGTCCTTGCTCTCTGATAGTCCTGCCCCACCAATCTTTCCTTGGTTAGGGTTTAGGGTTTACAAGCTTCTTTGCAGATCCAGGGCTCAGGGAAGGGAATGTAAAGTCGACAGGTTCGATAGTAATTAGTCGGTGATATCATCATGTGCCGGATCAACCAACTCTCAAGGACATTCATGATCAATTCCCGTCAAAGCTTGCGCATCCATCGCACTAGTACGCCAAAGTGTCTCGTCCGTGCAGGTCCACGTTTCGTCGAATTGCGTCCAGCCGCTGTCGCCTGAAGCTTGGATGGTTTCAAGTTACCTATAGTCTCCATTGTAGTTCCTTTTTGGGGGTTACCGTTTAGGATCCTAATTATAAAATTGGTTAAACCAAAAAAAGAACCACAATGGAGACTATAGGTAACGTTTCCCTTAAGTAGCCAATCGCTTTTACTGGGTGTACGAACAAGAATATCGAGCAACACAGTCGCAGGTTCAGAAAGCGTCCCACATGAGACACCTTTGACCAGCGATCCGATAACGCATGTGGTCATCTCTCAACGTAATGGGCTCCTGGATGTTCAATGTAGAAAACCTTTCTGATGCAACGAAATCGTGCTCGATCTGGTGCCCAACAAATGCAAGCCAAACTGCCCGGGTCACCACTCTCTCCCTACCTACCTCTCCCTCCCCATCATGACTCTAGACTCTCAGGCACAGCATCAAGACTCGGAGCCCTAATCTTTATATGTTGTGAGCTACAGTAATACGAAGATCAGGTAAACCATTCCAAACTCACAGAGAGTGTGGTCGAGGGCTTCAGACAAGAAAGAACCCTGGCCCAAAACCGTCATGCGATCCTTAATGAAGCTCAACACGTGGAATCCTGATGATCATGTGCCCACCCTTGGGGCTCTTCGAAGATACTAGCTTCTCTGAACAAGTAGCCATGTTCTCCTTGTATCAGTACACCTAGCAAAATAGACACCTAAAGCCTGTTCGAATCAGTACGGTCCCTGAACCACTCTAAAAGACAATACAAGCACAGCAAGGTAATTACCCGATAAAAAAGCAAAAAAACTCCTATTCAGATCATGAGGGACTCCCGCCCCCCATACTGAATTGTGTGGTGTTGCTTGCAGAACCCCAAACCCCAAACAGATACAAGGCCCTAGGGGCTCTAGTACCCCATATTGTAGGTACCTGGGGAGTTAGGGAAACAGACTAAAACCGTAAGGCAGACTGAGCAGAATCCGATCCGCCTGGACCCCAGGTCTCGGCAGCAGACAGGAGCTTGGCGATCTTCTTCGGATCCGCTCCCTTCCTGGTTGGGGGGCTGCAAAAGACCCGGGGCTTAGAGGGCGTAGGTTGGTTTCAGGTTTCGGGCTTATAGGGTTTAGGCTTCGGGCTTGTGGGGCTCCGCGCTTTTTTTCGGGTTTAGGGTTTCGCAGGAATTGAATTTAGTGCTTGAGTTTGTGCTGCTGACTGCTCATGAGCGACTTCATCAAATATCATGGCTTGACATGCGAAGCGTTGTCAACAATTTGTGTTCTGGGGTCCATGATCTAAGAGCGACATACTCTTTTGGGAGACCCAGCAAGAACCCTCGTCTTTAGAGCTACCCATGACGTCTACATTGTAGACTTTCGCGATTGTCAGCTACTGCTCATGAGTCCTTTGTTGGTGGCTTTCTACACCCTTCAACCCCGAAACCCTGAACCCTTAAACCCTAAAGCCTCGAATCCATAAACCCAGAAAGACCGAGGCAGGAGATTCGGCCAGGCTTCTGCCCGGCTGCATGGCCGTGCGTCATGGCCAGAAAGTTCATCGACGAGGGCGCGAAGCGCTCCCCCAGGAAACGATCCTGCAAAAGGACCTCCGGCTGAGGGCGTTTAGAGTTTGCGGTGCTTCTTGTAGGGTGCATTCAGGGGGTCCTTGCTTGGAACTCAAGGCTAGACCACCGGGCCTACCCAAAAGCCCCACGACATTGGTGTAATGGTGACCCCCGGATCCGACCGAAATCTGCAATCGTCATTACAGCTTGGAGGATACATCGGCAGCGGCACTTATATTCTTTGCGATCGAAAACGAAAGCCATAGCGCGGATTCTTGTTCAGGGCTGACAAGACTGTCTGATAAGTAGATGACATCTGAATAAATATCACCACCCCATGCTTCTATGAGTAGATGCATGAAGAGAGCAACCATGCGAAGTGACTATTAAACTATTAGCTATATAGGGTAGTCAACACGCAGGTTACGCACCGTCGCGTCCCAACTCGATATAAAAGGATGAAAGACATCTTCGGGGAGGCCGTGCTCCAGCCCGAAGTACACACAGCACCCCAATGTGGGCACCTCCACACAGAGCTCGTCAATGATCGCAAGCTGCGCCTCCAGGCCGCAAATGCAAGCAGGATGCCCTACTGCTTACGGTCTCGCAGTCTCGCATGACAACTCAATGAATAGGAACATGGAGGCATGCTTCTTGGCGGAAAACAAACAAATACTTTTCAACACCGTAGAGATCCTGCGCATCTTCCCAGAGTTCTGATGCCGTAGTATGTCGAGCTTCCCGGCGACTCTTTGTGCTTGAACTTGCCTAAATCCGGATCAGCATTGAGAAAAGCCAAAGGCATCGGCTTTGCCGGTGCTGTCTTCTGCCATGGCTACGGCTTTATTGTTGTTGCAGATCTGATTGCTGTGTTTGTGAATGTTACTTGCCTTTTAACATCAGAAGAATGAGCAATGAAGTCACGACAGTGCTTCACACTACCTACGAGTACCTACCTGTCTAACGCGGCCAGGAAATCACGGCCAGCGTCATCGCCATCAACAGCAGCAAAAGCAACAGCAACAGCAACCAACACCAACATCACCAACAACACCAACAACCCCGCCACCATCACCAACACCACCGCCAACCGCCACCGCCACCGCCACCGCCACCGCCACCGCCACCGCCACCGCCACCGCCACCGCCACCGCCACCGCCACCGCCACCCCCTCCACTACCACCACCACCGCCACCACCAGCACCAGCACCAGCGCCAGCGCCAGCGCCAGCACCAGCGCCAGCACCAGCACCAGCACCAGCACCAGCACCGTCATCGGAATCTCCATGATGATCGTGGTGATGATGATGATGATGATGATGATCATGATGATGATGACGGCATCCGTCATCATCATCCTCCTCATCATCATCATCATCATCATCATCATCATCCTCATCCTGATCATCATCATCATCATCGTCATCGTCATCATCATCACCATCCCCGTCCCCATCCTCATTCCCATCATCCTCATCATCACAAATCGTAACCATGAAAATCAACAGCATCGCCATGATCCTCAAGCCAAAATCCCGAGCCGCGACACAAAGTGACATTGCACCCCGCAGGCAGCTCCTCGAGGCTCTCTGTGGGAGCTGGTCGCCGGCACGATGTTACCCGCACTTCCTTCGCAACCATAAATAGCCAGGTACCCAGGTATATGTTGCAGCGTTGGCAGTGGAGGATAAGGCTCCACGTCAAAGGCTCAGGAATCTGATCATTGAAGGCTGCAGGGCTTTGCGTTTGTGGAGAAGTGCAGGTGACAGGTTGTGAAGCTTGTAATCATGTTTCTGTGCTTAGACACTTGGGAACAGAGCGGCAGTAACACGCTCGCATCGCCAGTTCCAGGCGGACTGTGCCGTTCTTTGAGAATGAGGCCATGAAACATAAATGAAAGACACTTGGCAAAATTGGTAAGGGCATTGCAGCATTTCGGAACGTCTCCCCGGCAATTTCAGATCTCGGGCTGGAGACTTGGCTAAGTGAATTTCTTTTCTGGGGACTTGGGATTCTTCAAATGAGGTAGTCGTCAATATACCTTGGTCACCGCTGGTCCAGGAAACCCCACATGAAAACAGCAAGCATCGCGTGCTTACCCTTTCCTTCACATCCGACGTTTCAAAGTCGGAGACCGGAAGAAGCCCTGCGCTACATTCCCGCATCTCTTAAGCTATGCAGGCGTCACTGTGCATTGCCGAACCCAGGATCTTCTGAGCAACAGCGCAGACCCCTGTCCATACCGCTACCGAAGCTCCCAAACACCTGAGTCTCTCTGTGCAGAACTGTGTAGTTCCCCCTGCCCTGCACCCACCCCACATGTACAACGGGCCCTCAAAAACCGTCTGCCCTTTTTTCGAAAATCCTCTTCTTCGACCTGGAATTGAAGGCTGCCCAGCAGACAGCAGCCCCCAGGCGGGGCGTTCAGGTAGCCCCAAAAGGCCTCCAATTCAGGGCTCTTTGGTTTCGCCTTCGTGTGTAGGATTGCATACGCAAGCCTTCAAACGTGGATGCCTGGAGAGTTCGAAAAGGCTCCGCGAGTTGTTGATTTCGACGGGGCGGACTTCAAAGGAAACTCCGACCATGTCCCATGTGGGCTACTCTCAAGCTCTCAAGTCTGAGAGTACGCTCAAGACCTGAAGCCGGACTCCTCTGACCCCGAAATGAAGCCTCAAATCGATGTCAACCCTAAGAGACGTCCCACCTTTTCAGCGGCAAACTGCGGCCTCGTGTCGGGGTTACTTACAAGGTTGGGGAATGGTTGTAGAGGGTCAAGACGGCCTGGCTTTGGGCATCGCGTGTTCTGAGGCTTTGGACTTCCGTCGTCTTCAATTTGCGACTGACCATGGACTGGGTTTCAGGCGTATGATGTAGGGCCGGGCTTATAATAGAGCCCGAAATCCTAAACCGTGAACCCTAAACCCAAGAGCCTGTGGCTTATATTGAAACCCTACAGCCCTCTCGTTTAGACATGCTTAGACCCTAAGCTGAAGGGAGCCTCATTCAGAAAAATCAGACCGCAGGTCAAGGCTGTAGGATTTAGGGGCCGGGAGTATGGGTAATGAGGCCTTGATAATTAGAATCGGGTTTTGGGCTTTGGGGTGTACTAGACTATTAATCATAATCATGAGCCACCAAAATATAGTATAGGTAATTGTTATGGCCCCTGTATTAGAGGTCAGGGGTTTGGGGGCGTTGAGTTCGTCGCACTTTCTGCGGGAGTTGCAGCTGCTGAGAATTGAGTGAACGCTGCAAAACGCTGATGTTACCAATCGGTCCATGTCGGGAAATTGTTGTTTTATATGACCATGGGTGCATGTATATATATATATATATAGCGAGAGAGACATACCTCAGCACAACATGTCTGGAATAAAAGCTAGATGGCCGATTGTATGTCCACGAGCTGAGTTGGAAGTTTTAAGCCTAAGAGACGCATCAAAAGAACATGCTGCTTGTCGTCGGGTGGCAGGTAGTACTGCGCCAGCGACTCATGCACCCGGCGCAGCTTGGAAGACTGCAGAGGAAACTCCTGCACCGATGCACATCGGCCCTGGATCGAGCAGTCTGAAACAACGAAGAGCCTGAAAAAGAGGTAACCCTTGTTGACCCAAATTCCTCAATCAGCTTCCCCCACCCACTAGGGCCTGAAAACCGCAGCTGCGCACAGACACCTAGTGTAAGTAGCCAGGATGGCGCCGAATATCAGATCTACACATGCATAGGCCTTCAAAGCCTGCAACCACTACATCCCTGATTGCTGCCAGAGCTTCAACTAGAGATAGCAATGTGCTATGATTGCTCAAATCCGTGGAATGATGCCAATACCGCTTCGACACTTGTCTCTGATTCGTTCACGGTTGAAAACCGCGACAGATTCTATGATTATTATGACGTTGACGATGGTAGCGATGATGACCGTGTTGATGATGGTGATGGCGATGAGGATGATGGTGCTGACACTGGGGATGATGAGGATGTGAGTGGTGAGCCTAATGACGAATATAGCTGTCATTTAACCTCTTAAAACTAGGCTCATGATGATTGCTACATCATCGCTATCACCATTATCGTCATCCTCGGCATCATAATCTTCTTCTTCATTATCATCATCATCATCATCATCATCATCCTCCTCATCCTCATCCTCATCCTCATCCTCATCCTCATCCTCATCCTCATCCTCATCCTCATCCTCATCCTCATCCTCATCCTCATCCTCATGCTCATGCTCATGCTCATCCTCATCATCGCCATCACCATCGCATAATCATCATCTTCTTTTTCCCCGTCATCAGCACTATCACCATCAGCAACATCATCATCATCACCAGCAGCAGCAACATCATCATCATCA